GGCTTAAAGACACATCCCAGGGGCGTTTCTGGTACCAAAAGGTGTTTCTGGTCCCAAAAGGTGTTTCTGGTCCCCACCTGTCGTTTTGCTCCTCAGCATGGCTACCTAAAAACGCTGCAGGATTTCTCAGACATGCGTGAATGAGTCAAAGCAAGGCTTTGGGCATATTTTTTTATGAGAGTATAACATTATAACATGATATAAAACTCAAAAAGTTGATTTTACATGATATTGCCCTTTAAGACAAGACCAACCTGCAGCTGCACAGTGTTGTACAAAACAAACAGCCTCGGTTCACAACATTTATAATATGTAATATATTTTTCTGTTTCAATCCCTGGTCTATATTTCTGTCTTGTCAGTGGTGCTGCTGGTGTTGGCCTGCATCCTGTTTGTTTCCCGATTCTTCACAGTCATCTGGAGGAACAAGTGGTGGCCCCTCTACTCTCCAGGTTCAGCGAGACTGATGGTGTCACCCCTCGACGGCAGCAAGTTCAAGATGTTTTACTGAGAGGAGCCTCCTGTAGGGTTTAAACTCAGACCACAAAAAGTCTTATTCATCTGTTTACTCACAACTTTGTTTTGTAAAGAGGTAAATCTCATTTTTAAAGTGAGTCTTTGCTGAAACGTGTAAAACAACAGTTCTTTCTTTGGTTACAGTTTAAACAAAGCTTTAGAGCAGAAATGATTTCTTTGACATGGATTGCAACTAGTTGCTTAGTAGCAAATTAATTAAACAAATGTATTACTTTTTAAAGGCAAAATGTTTTTCATATTCGGACATTTCTTATCTTTTTGCACTTATTGCTATTATGTATTGTCAAAGTATTATGAGCGCCTTATTTACCGGTGTAATATGAAGTACTCAGTTTAGCTAAACTGGTTTGATGTGCCAAATAAAACATTTTGATATGTTTTACAGTCTGGTTAGATTTTATTTAAACTCTTAACAAAGAAGCTTTAGGGTGAAGAATTGAGTTTCTCATCAATACAAGTTCACTCAGGTAGTTTTAAAGTTAAATATTGTAGCAAAGTTTGTGAACAACACTTTCATTGTTGTCAAGTTTATCAGCAAAACACGTGAAAAATAAAACTACTAGACCTTGGTTTTAGGCTTACGTAGAATCAACCTGGAGTCTTCCCTCTCTTTCTCATCTTTACAGACGGGGAGTTAATGTTCTTTTTCACTGCAGCTCCATTCCAATTTTATTTGTGTTCACATTATTGCTTAAATGTGACTGCTATCAGACCCCAAGGCTTTTCCACTGGCAGCCCCTTTTTCAGAACGTACTTCGCTGTGCTGGCCTAAAAATGAAGACTGTCGATCATTGATTGGTTTGGGGGGGGGAGGGTTTCACTGTTTGTGTCACAAGAGCTACTCTCACAACAACCTGATCCGCCGTTTGCACTAACACTACTATGTCCTCCATTGTTGTGTTGTGTTGTGTATCTTTCCAGGGTCTTCTTCTTCTACTATGTTTAATGGTGGCTGACAAATAGCTTAATGGAGCAAAACCACCACCAGTTGGTAAGGCGTGTGACATCAATTTTTAGACTCTGGGACCACCCAAATTTACAGTGAACCCACCCACTACACTGCCAAAAATGTCCACCTAACCAAATTTTCTTGAAATACTTGATTTGAGTCAATTTTTTCTTATTTCAAGAATCTTACCAAGTAAAATTTTCTCACTGGATTTGAAGAGTAAAATAAGTTCAAGTTTTCATTATTTCTGTGCATAAAATTCAGTTTTCCAAGAAAGCATCTTCTCACACTGGTGGGGGTCTGGGGGTTCTCCTCTGGGAAATTTTTATTTAAGTAGGTGCTGTTTCCTGCATTCTGGAGTATTTTAACACAAAGTAGGAAAAACAAGGAGAGAGAGAGAGAGAGAGAGAGAGAGAGAGAGAGAGAGAGAGAGAG